AAGCAAGAGTCTTCCGATACAGGCGATTCACAAACCTGGTTCTCTAGTTCCTTTGATGTAGGTTATAATTTTCATGTTCCAGAGGTCTAAATACATCAGTAGATGTATATTTTGATTCTGATGAACCTTTCCATAAACTATTAATGATAAGTCTTATAGTATTTAATTTGGGGTGGAGATTGAGGTGGCTACTGGTTTCCAATGTTGCAATGCCCAAGTGACAACTATAAATCTTTTTTAGGCTATGGCTTTGTGTCAATATTTGGAGGAACATACAGAGGAATTGAATTTTCAAGATGCTAAAATACTTGAAATTGGTGCTGGACCAGGCCTTGTTTCCATTGTGGCCAGTATTTTAGGTTTGTTTGTTTTCTTATTCCTGACCGTGTTTCAAAAGACCTTTATTGTGACAACAATGATAAGTCTGTGGTTTAGGTGCTCAGCCATGATTTCACTCATTGAATCTCCCCCAGTGTCACAAGCTAGAATTACTACTGTTATCCCCAGAGATAAGATTATTGTTTGTTAGAGATGAGAGGTTCAGTAATTTGCCCAGTCCACCGATTACCATGTGATGAAGTTGAAAATTTGGAGGTATGACTCTCAAATCCTCTGTTGTAAACAACTATGTTATGTTGTCTCCTGCTCTTTGTTGCAAATATTGTCACTAACATTGTGAAGGAAATAAAAAGTGAGTTAATCCAAGGTGAAGACAGATTTATACCCAAAATGCAGGTTGTGAGTTCCTGGGCACTGGGCAAGAGGTGGTACTAATCTGGCTACTTCTGCCTACATTATCATAGTTCTTTCTTTAAAACTAATCTGGAAATACAGAGATCTATTTTGTGAACCATCGTCACTAGCTTTAAAATGCCTAAGAATTAATTTAATTAATTTAAATAAGGGTGAGAATCAGACAAAATAGATTATCCTTTGTGGAAAGAAAACTGGGTGCTGAATACTTCATGGAAGAGAAAAAGAAAATCATGAGATAAATGTATTTTTAGAGGGAAAATTATGAATTACTATATTAAGCAGCTGCTGAAAACCATAATATGTTTAGCGAATTATCCTAAAATCTCTTAACATTGCACCATTGCTTAACTTAAAGTTTCTTAAGAGATGGTTCTCAGCCAAAGGTGATTTCTGTCCCACAAGGGACATTTGGCAATGTCGGAAGACATTTTTGATTGTCACAACTTGGGGATGGGTGGGGAGGTGCTACTGTCATCTGTTGGATGGGTAACAGAGACACTCCCAAACATCTTACAAAGTACAGGGCAGCCCCTCCCAGCCCCGCCCCCAAAAGAATTATCCAGTGGAATTATGTCAAATGTGTCCGGCCCATATGTCAATAGGGCCAAGGTTGAGAAGCCCAGTTCTAGTTCTCTTCTTTCTCCCTGAGAGTATATGTCCACTCTGAATGCCCAAAAGATTCCAAGTAATTGTTACATTTTTTCTTCTTTCTCTCTTAGGAGCTCAAGTCACCGCCACGGATTTGCCTGATGTCCTAGGAAACCTTCAACACAACCTTTTAAAGAATACACTAGCACACACAGCACATCTGCCTGAAGTGAAAGAGCTGGTGTGGGGAGAAGGCCTGGAGCAGAACTTCCCCAAGTCGACTTTCTATTATGACTACGTTCTGGCCTCCGATGTGGTCTACCACCACTACTGCCTGGACAAGCTGCTCTCCACCATGGCGCACCTCTGCCAGCCAGGGACTGTGTTGCTTTGGGCAAACAAGTTCAGGTTCAGCACTGACTATGAATTTCTAGACAAATTCAAGCAAGTTTTTGATACAACGTCCCTGGCTGAATTTCCAGAGTCGTCAGTTAAAATTTTTAAAGGAACACTAAAATGGGACTAAATGAAACAAATTGCCATTCGAAAACTTAGTGTGTGTTTTGAGCTGTGTTAGAAATGGTATTGTCAAGAAAACACTTATAAGATTGAGAAGGTGGTGCATAAAAAAATCTTGTACACACAAAACAAGCAGAACTTAATACTACAGCAGCTATCTAAAATCACCTATTTAAGGTTATCTGGTTAATCTAAACATCTGTAAAGAATAATGTGAAAATATAAAAATAGCTTTGCTGGCTCTCAGAAGTCTCAACTAAATGTTCAGTAAATTTTACATGAATAAATTAATAAACAAGTTTTAGTATAATTTACTACAAACTTACTTGTTTCTCTCAATTCATTCTCCTCATTCATGCTGCGTATTTAAAAAGAACGCGGTAGGTTTTATATTTTCCGGCTTTTTCTACAGAAGTTGGCAGCCACTGTACTATAATGTAAGCTAACTTGATTATTCTCCTACTATGACTGCAACTAATTTTGATTTCCTGTAACTCTTGTTGATGGACATTTTTTCCTCTGGGTTACAGGGAAACAGACAGCACTGCAGCACATCTAAAGAACAACGAGTGGGAGAAGGCACATTCATGGAACAAATGTGTTTCAACTGCGTTTCTCATTATGGAGCTCCCTTCCTCTACATCTGGTTCTCTCTGCAGGTCCCAAGAGAAATGAAGGGAGGACACTATACTATAAGTAAGCAGTTGTACACCACAAATAAAAAGTAAAGCAAGTGTCTTTATGTATGTTGTCACTTCGTCTGGAAAGCCCTTTTTGGTCACGTCTATCGACTTAATCCTCATTCCCACAGTCTTACAGAAAGCCTGACCTAAATTCTCAAAGGTGGCTGCACTGTGTATCTCACAGCACTGTATCTGTACTTCCATTCTACTTACTCCAGTCTACTTCAGAGACAAGTCCAGATCAGCAGGCCCCGACTAGATATCAGTTTCCCGAGAGTGTATTTAGGGTTTATGGTGTCCTGCATACAGTAGAGTTCCAATTAACATTGGATTAACTGAGAGGTTTTTGTTTGCTGATTTCTGTGTCCATTTTTTAAAGTATTTTTATTGAGAGAGAGAGAGATAGAAACAAGAATGATGAGAGAGAATAATTGATTGGCTGCCTTCTGCAGGCCCCATACTGGGGATCGAGCCCGCAACCCCAGCATGTGCCCTGACCAGGAATTGAACTGTGACCTCCTGGTTCATAGGTCAATGCTCAACCACTGAGCTATGTCGGCTGGGCATAATCAAGTCTATTCCTAAAACAGGAAACTAACCTATTATGCTTGATGTAGTGCCACCTGGACAACCAACTATAGAGAGGCATGGGCCATTGTTTCCAACACTTGAAACATAAGTTATATTATGCTTCCACACTGCGTCATTAATGACTTCACTTGAAAGAGGGAATTCTCCTGAGAGAATTCCCTTGAACATAAAATACTGTCCCACTTTTTAAGAACTATATTATTATTGTGTGAAAATATTTGCAAAATATGGTTTATATATAAAAAAAAAACAGAACTAAAACAGTGGCTATAAATAAGACTGCATTAGAATGACTCAGGGGACATTCTCAAACAATAAAAGCTTAGCTCTATTCCCAAAGTATTTATAATAGCAAAATATTGTTCAATTTCGTGGTTAAGTAACTTTTGGCACCACCCACCATTGGTGGAACATGATACAGCCATTCCAGGTGGTACAGCCAAGTTGGGTTTTAGTGTTGGGAAGCAGTCATGAGGCCAGGTTAAATGTGGGGAAATGCTAGATACAAAATTGAACATATGTGGGGAAAACTACAATAGGACTGAAGGCAAATCATGATTCATAGTATTGGGTAGCAGGGCAATAGCTGGTTTCACTTCCATCCTCCACCTGAAATAATGCATTCAGAAACAACTCCTCGGGAGATTCCTATATATATTTGTGATTAGTGACAAAGGTGAAGGGGAAATAAGGCTCCAGGGAGAACTTAAGAGTAAGATTTAAAATATAAGAAATCTGGTTAGAGCTTGATAGCAAACAAGAAAAATGTACTGGTCCCCTTTGTGGGAGAAAAACAATTACAGTGGGGCCTTGACTTACGAGTTTAATTCATTCCGTGACGGAGCTCATAACTCAAATTACTCGTATGTCAAATCAAAAAGTGAACGAGTGAGACACGTGATGCTGGGCTGATGTTGTGGCGTTCACTGTGACGTTCGCTGCGCCAACTAGCGGTGGGGTATCTGAAGCTGGCTCGTAACCCGAATTTTAGCTCGCAACTCAAAGTAAAAAAGCGGCCGAGAGACGGCTCGTATCTCGAAAAACTCGTTAGTCGGGACACTCGTAAGTCAAGGCCCCACTGTAGTTGAAATAAATCTTAAATGATTTTTGGTGAAGTTCTGGTAACTGACAGTAACTTGGGAGGGGAGAAATGGTGGTATCTGTGATTCAATGAACTTTTATATCTTACCAGTGAAAATTATTACAGCAACTATTATTTTTCATTAAAAACTCTATTGTTTATTTTCTTTGATTTCTTGGAAGGGAAATACCATTTCACTACAAAATAATTTGTAGTTGATGAAGAAATAAGATTCAAAAGGTAGTATCATCTTGTTTGTATAGTCCTTTGCAAGTTACAAAGCATTTCTAGAAAACTAGGGCAAAAAGTGAAATTTTTGTTTGAAGTTTGAGAGGCCATATTTTGTACATATGGGTACAATTAGAAGTCGTTTTGCTTAGGGAAGCTCTTTCTGATGGATTACAGCCAGTTGCTACAGATTTTATATAAGAGGTAAACCACACACCTGTTCTTCTATTTAAGTTTTAAGTATGTATTACAAAATCGAATACGGGCCAAAGAAAAAAATTAAATTTATGAAGGCACTATTTTTGGAAAACTACTGAACCATCCTCAAGAGGATAACCTTTGGTGTATCTTAATTGACTAATTTGTAATTGGTAATTAGGAGGAAAGGAAGTGGGAGTAATGTTGGTTTATAGCATAAGGGCAGAAAATGAGAAAATAAAAATTTGCTTTGAAGACTTGCTATCATCTCATCTCTTAATTCTCTCTAGTAAACCCTTAGTGAAGTGTGATTAAAAAATTTAAATATATTTTCTAATAAAATCAGAACAAAATCATCTGATAATAGTGCATTAGGTTTTATTGACTACGGTACAAGCTAAAACATGAAGAAGAAACAATCATTTAAAAACACCAAAGACCCTTACATAGCAAAGGTTAAGAAATAAATTAAGACTCTTGTTGGGCTGTGCTGGGGAAGGATAGGCCTCATTCACTTCGATCCTTGGGCTCTCGGTATTTCCACTGGATGTAGTCAAAGATGTCTTTCTCACTATCTACTGGCAGGGGTTCTCCAGCAACTCCTACAAGAGACAAAAGAATCAAAAGTTTTAGAGGGTGCAGGACTGACATTTGTATAGGACATACTTGTAGAAAACAAAGAAAATGGCAACCAAGTCACTAAAAAAAGATCTTGCCCACCCCCATCCTGCCACACGAGCGCGGGGTTGAGGTTTGTCACATATACACCAGTGCTACAAAAGGAACCTGAGTGTGCCAACCATGGCCTTTGAAGTTATCCAATTCATGATTTTCCTCTCTGCTGAATCTCCATGGGAGCCTCATGGGTTATATAAAATACTCTAGTTAGTTCCTTTACAACTCAAAATGGGGTTCCTAGACTAGCAACTGGCATCACCTGGAAGCTTACTAGTAAAGCAGACATTTGGGCCCCACTCCAAAGCCCACTGAATTAGACTCTGCATTCAATGGGGTCTTCACGTGGTTTGTATCACACTGCCATGTGAGAAGTACTGCCCTAGTCAACCAAGGAAGAAAGCCCGATTTTATAATTTTTAGGACAAAATAACAAAATCTTCATTTTCCTAGTACAGAGCAGTAAACTACATAGTATATTATGAAATGTTAATAAGATAAATAAAGCAGGGATTAAGCTATTCTTACTCTTTAACTTTAAAGCATGGGGCCAAAGCTACCAAATTTGGCTTGGCACCAAAAGCAACGATACCTGGATTCTTCAGAAGTCTTGGAGATGCATTTTAAAAAACAAAACACTTAGACCAATAAAGTTTATTTTTACTGACCATCACAGGTGGAAAGAATTTAATCCACTGTGATAGAGCTAGAATTAATTCCTGTCATCACGGGCCTTCAAGGGAGAGCCTGGGACATGTGTGGATTAAAGCCCATTTGTTGCCTGATGAACTAACAACACAAAGAAACTAATTAACTGGCATAGTTATTTAAAGGCTTTTTAGAGAAATCAAAGTTGCTAAACCAAAATACCTTGAAAATAACTTTCTTTTCAGATGACTGGGGTTTTCTCTAAGGAACACAAATACTCACCAGTGACTCCTAGGGGACGGATCGTGTATTCATTGATTGTGAAACCCTTTTCTAAAGCATGAGTTCGCATATTCTTATTGAAAATATCACTCCCCGTGAAATAGAGAACACCACAGTAATATTGATCCTTGGGTATCAACCTAAAAAGAAATGAAAAGCAGTGTCACTTATTACAATAACTTTCCCCAGGCAGGAAATGACTTTTGAGCTGTGGAAGGCATCCTGTTGACATGGATAGCTGGAGAAAATAAATTAGATTCTGTAGACAGTTATTATTTACATATTTTCAGGCTAAACATTTTCTACAGCAAAAACATAAGGCACTTCAGAATGAAAAGGGATTCTGGATATTTATGTGAATTCCAAGATAAATAGAGGGAGGGGGGAACGGAGAAAAGAAGGGAAAGTTAATAGGTCAGCAACAAATACCTGATATCAATTCTCCTGTGTGGATATTCCTTTCCATCATTTTTACTGGGAAGTTGGCAAACACCCTAAAATGGATATTTAAAAGAATGTTTGAAGATATTTTTAAACTGAAAGCTTAATTTTAATTAAATGTTGTTAAACATGAGGTTAGTTTGTTTTAAATGGAGGCAGTTTTCTAATTTGGAGCACTTTTAATTTAGTTTCTCTATGCACTGTACATTATCACTACCTTCTTATTACACTTCCTGATAATTAAAGAACTACATGAAACAGCAGGCAAGGATGAGAGTGATGAGGACTTGGCCTTTGTGAATTCTAAACAGCAAGCTAATTGAGGAAAGCATCAAACATGAAAGACAGACCAAAACAAACAGAAAAAAAGCAACTTGGAAGAATGATTATTCGGGAAAAAGAAAACAAATAAAAAAGCTATGATAGAAACAGTAGGAGAGTTTGAAATTGTGGAAACCTCTCAGAAACGAGAAGACCAAGAGAAGAAAAATCTAAGGTAAGAAAACCAGGGGATTATTTTCTTCAAATTGTGGAAACCTCTCAGAAACGAGAAGACCAAGAGATTATTTTCTTCCTTCTCTACAAGTGAGTTTTCATTATACTTCTAGTTTTCAAACAGATATTTTCAAGGTCTGTTTTGTTATCTTTTCCTTTTTCAGAAAAATAGGCAAAAATTCTGGACTAGTCAGCAACCCATAAATATGTAAAAAGAACTACAGACATAAATAAATTTCAAAATAAAACTTTCAAATGTCACATTCTAAGAAAAATATACAACTGTCAGGCTTCTGATTCTAAAAAGTAGTTGAATTGGTACACATATCCCTAAAAGCCATACTTTTTCACTCAGCAACATAAAAAAGTTAAAATCTAAAATCCAAAATGGGTTGCTATGGCTGAAAGACTAATGAAACCTATTTATCTTCAAAATATGAAAACTACCTTCTTTGGCATTAATAAGTCCCAGCTCAACCTTCAAATGGATCAGAAACTACTTCTATCTGGAATTACCATGAGGTATTACCTTTCAGATATGGATGTTTCGATGCCACAGGCAATGATCTTACTGTTTGTCACATTAGAACTGGGACTTCATCTAATGGCTTTGTTCCTTTCTTCAAGGCTAATTTTATTTCCTGCACTTTTTCTGAAGTACTTATGTTAAATAATTTCTCTGTATTATTGTACATTATTTATTAGATAGAGTGGATGAGTTTTGTTTGACATTTCAATTAGGTAGCTTCATGCAAGTATCTGAAATAAAGCCCCTCTCACTACCTTAGGGTAGACCTCAAGGTACCTTCTATTATCTCTTGAATCCTTACTGTAGATATTTCACAGAAAATCATCCAAGGGCAAACTTGCACAAAATGTTAAAGTTTGAATGGTATTCATATATAAATCAAACAGGCATCGAAATGCAGAGGAAATTGTTTTGTTTTGTTTTTCTTTCAAATAGTATATTCACAGGAAGAATAGCTCACTTATCTAAAGACCATGATTTTACAAGAAGATTTGGAATAACCTGGCTTTCCTAAGGTTTGATTACTATTAAAGGAATTAATGCTTTGAAGATAACTTGAAAAACACATAAATGGTCATATCTTGAAAACTATTTAATCAATAGTTATAGGAACAAGAGGTTTTTTTTGTTGTTGTTGTTTTTGTTTTTTTTTTAAATATATTTTATTGATTTTTCACAGAGAGGAAGGGAGAGGGATAGAGAGCTAGAAACATCGATGGGAGAGAAACATTGATCAGCTGCCTCCTGCACACCTCCCACCAGGGATGCGCCCGCAACCAAGGTACACGCCCTTGGCTGGAATTGAACCTGGGACCTTTCAGTCCACAGGCTGACGCTCTATCCACTAAGCCAAACCGGCTAGGGCAGGAACAAGAGGTTTTAAGATCAAGTGGTTATGGAATGAGAAGCGTTTTTTTCACTTTATAAATTGAATTCATTTTGCAGCCAAAATCCTTTCAGAAACCTAGAGATCGTAACTTCTTTGGATTATCTCTGCCAATGTTCATGCACTTAGGGTCACTGCTCTCTCTTCCCCCCAGGTATCTGCTTGGCTAAATCCCTTACCTCAAGTCTTTCTCCAAGTCTCATCTTCTCTGCCTCTGACTACCTTGTATAATACTGTCTCCTGCATGCCCACCTCCCCATGTCCTGCTCTCCCCTTTCTTTTTAAAAAATAGTAATTATTACCTTAACACACTATACAATTTACTTATTTATTAAGTTCACCATTATTAAGTTTCTTTCCACACTCCCCAAATATAAGTTCTACTTAAATTCACTGATATATCTCAAACTCCTAGAATGTGGAATTTAGTAGATGCTTAATACATATTTGCTGAACTGACTGAATATACCTTCTCCCCCTATTAACACTCATTCTCTCCATTTTGTTCTTTCATATCATGAACAATAAGGTCTGACCCAGCCTACTCTGTAGCAGTCCCTGGAATTTGGCTGCCCATGAACTTTCTGGGCAAAGGTCTTGTCTTTTTTGGATTGAGCAGCTATTAGGAAACCCATTTCCACCACCGTCAGTAAATCTTTATGCTCACATATACTTGGCTACCCACCTTTCCTTTCCAGGTTACACCCAGCTCACCAGCTTATAATTTTTCCTTGTATTCTTGCTAGCTGGATTACTACAGCCTTTGTTGGTTTTTCCTCTGGATCTCTCTCTGAGCACCACCAGAATATGTTCAGATTGTAAAAAAAATAATAAAAAAATGCTTCTGCTATTGCATTGTATAAACACCTTCCACGGTGCTAAATCTGAAAGCAGGTGGTGCACTCCCCAGTAGGGATCCCAGCGCCTCTCACAGAGATGACTACTGCAGGAGAGTGAGGCCAGAAGGGGAACCCAGAACACGCCCAGGCATACAAGGACACTCCTACTATGAAAAAAAAAAAAATCCAACCTGTCTAGCTCATATTGTTTTTAGGATTTTATCTGACTGAATGTACTTTAATTGTAAGAATTATGCATATTTATTTTGAGTAAATTAAAATCAATCTAAATTTTAAAAAGATATCCATGGAGCATATATAAACCCTATTTTAAATAAGATCTCATTTGTGTATATACTTTTAGAAACAGAGTAAGTGCTCAAAATCTGACAGATTCAGGAAAACATATTTAATTCTCAAAGACTGACTAGAATTTTTATTCTTACCTTTCCCAAAGTTCTTTTAAAAACACTGATAAAGTGTGATTAACATAAGCAATATACTTTCATAGCCCATAAAAATCACCAGGCTGAATTTAATAACAATGTTTTTACACGTTAAATATACATACCATAAAATTACCATTTTAACCATTTATATCTGCCCCAAATGAAATTATGTACCCATTTAAACAATAATTCCCCATGCCCCTCTCCACACAGACCCTGGCAACCACCATTTTACTTTCTGAATGACATGATATTTCAATTATCCATCTCAACCATCTTCTTCTACTATTGGTTAAAACCATTGTCAAATTTATGCATGAGACTTGCTAATTCTATCATGTCTATTCTCCAAAAGCAGTCTTTTTCCTTTCAGTTATGGAACTTGGAAAAATGGGGGGCACCGAGAAAAGGGAATCCAAATGATGTATATATAAGTGACCAGTAGAAAAAAGGTAAGCTTTTGATACCTTAATCCTAGATTTCTATTTGCCTTCCTGTCTATTTTTACACAGGGCCATGTATTAACCTGTTTTTAATCCATTTGCCATTTTTCTTGAATTTTTAAATTTTAATTCCCTAGAAGGACTACAGGATTTTGACAGCTCATCATGATGGGTTTCACTTTGAAAATCTCTGCAAGTGTCCTGCTCTATGAACTCCCCTACTATGAACACATTCTACATTTGTTTCTTTCCCTGTGTGTTCTAGCACATACCTTGGTCCTTTTCTTTATTTGGTATTATAATAAATTAGCACTCTTTAGGCAATTTTAATCTCCCTTATTTTAAAGAATTCTGAGTTAGAGAATATAAAAACATTTATTTTAGGAAAAAACTTATATGTCAAGGTCATTATGGATATTTTGAAAATAGCAGAGTATTTCTAATAATCTATTCCAATAGCACAGATATTTACAAGTGGGGAATTTAAAACAAAATTCTTTACTAAAATAGTCTGAGATTAGCATTCTGCTAATTCTTCTTCTTTAAGGCCTCATGGATATTTATTGATTGTAACATTAAGCTACAGTGAGGTCACACACTCACAACCATTACTAAACAGTCTTTAAAGTTTTTTCCCGATGTGTTAACTCAAACGAGTACTTACCATGAATTTTGTTTCACCTTTTGACAGAGTATCTGTAATAAAACAGACCTTTTGTAACTGCTCCACAACACGATGTAACAGTTTTGGCTGTAGAATCATAATTAGGGAATAAGAAAAAGAGCAATTACTCTGTTATGGCAAGAAAACATTTTTAACACAAGTTTTCTGATTATCTGTGGAGAAATGCCTATTTTCCAATGTTCTGAGTAAGTACTTTTTTCTTTTAACAGGAAATTCATCTTATTAAACTTATTTTTAGATACCATCATCTTTCACCAATATCATGATGCTCCCAAACATCATTTGTGTGTTTATTTGTTTCATTAAAACAAAAAAGTTAGCTGCTTCATCTTTAAAAGGCATATATTCAAAATAAAAAATGTTTTGCCTTCTTGGGATTTCTAATAGAGGTAAAGTTTCTAAATACAATATTATGGATATTTCTAAAATATCTATGATAGACAATAGATAATTCAGGAAATATTTTACTAAATTTCATCTCTTTCAAATGTTAGATTGTCCATCCAATTCCTTGTAGAAAAGTATGTATCCCTTTCAACAACTTACTTTTTGCCTTTCACATAATTCAATCAGTACCAGCTTGACTTTTCAGAAAGATTAAAACAAAAACTTAGGCCTGCCAGCATGGCTCATTGGTTGAGTGTTGACGAAGAGGTCATGGTTCCATTCCTAGTCAGGGCACATGCCTGGCTTGCGGGCTCGATCCCCAGTAGGGGGCATGCAGGAGGCAGCCAATGAATGATTCTCTCTCATCACTGATGTTTCTCTCTCTCACCCTCTCTCTCTGAAATCAATAAAATATATATTTAAAAAAATAAAACAAAAACTTATTCTGAAAATAGACAATTATCATTTAGAAAATGATGCTCATTGCTATGTAAGACTGATCACATTGATTATAAATTGAAGTACCTGTTTGTTTGACTCAGAGGTAAAACTTGGATGGGTCAGAAGAACATCCATGTCACCACTGGACTCTGCACCTATGACAACAGAGAAAACGTATGGAATTCTTCACGTAAATTTACCTATGAGACAAACAGAACCATGGGGATGACACACATAGAAGGGCCTTACTTCTCATAGCATGTGGCTTGCTGTGTATCAAAGTCTATGTTTTGAAAATATTGATTCCAAGGCCCTACTCAAGGATATTCTTATTTAGTAGATTTGTAGCAGGGTACAGCAATGTGTATATTTTTAAAAACTTCCTAGGTGTTTTGGATGCACAGACGTGAATAACTTGTTAACTCTAATCTTCTCATTCTGCAAATATGGAAAACAGGACGTGGAGTGACAAACTTACTTAAAATCGTGTAGTGACAGATTTGGCCTGAGAACCCAGGTATTTTGGCCCCAATCCAATGTTCTTTCTACTTTTCAGTAATTATGGATTTAGTCCTTTTCTATCCCCACCTCTAGATTCTTACAGCAGCTACCCAGAGAATTGCTTATAGCCTATCACCTACTTCCAAGCAAAACTCCAGAGTGCCCAGAGATTCAGTCAGATATCTTTCTAAAAGTTTTAAAGTTTTTCTACTCTAATTATTAAAGTTTATATTTTTAAATTTGTGTTACCCTTCTAAATTTTTGAGACCACAATTGTATAGTTCTAGCTTTGCTTGTATTCACATAGTAAATGGACATCAGCAGAACTTGGTTGTTGTGAGAATTGGTTTTGAACTGGTGCTTCTGAGACATTATTCTTAGATCGATTACAGAAAACTTAGAAAATACAATAAGAAAAACAAACAAATGAAAACTACCCAGATTCACTTGCATCTAGACAGACAACCACTAGTAGGATTTTAACACACCCAAAATTATTATAAATTTTTATTAAAATTAGTCACTAAAATATCATCCTATAATAAATTCAGTATGGATTTCTCTAATATATTTCCATCTATAAATAAATAAACTTAACTAATACTACTGGATCTTAGGAAATCTGTTAAGTAACACAAATTACATCTTTTTTGTTGCTGTTGTTAATCCTTACCCGAGGATATTTTTCCATTGATTTTTAGAGAGTGGAAAGGAAGGGGCAGAGACAGACACAAACATCGATGTGAGAGAGATATCTATTGATTGCCTCCCACATGCACCCGGACTGGGGCCAGGAATCAGCCTGCACATGCCCTTGACCAGAATCGAACCTGAGAAGCTTCAGTCTGTGGGCTAACGCTCTATCCACTGAGCTAAACTAGCTAGGGCACAAATTACATCTTTTTAATTCATCTTTTTTATATACACTAAGCAATTTTAACATCAAGGCATCAATAACCTGAAATTAAGAAGTGTATTACCTCTTCTGAAACTGCCACAGACTGTAGCTATGTATTCAGAATCCACTTTTTTAACTTCGTTTAGTACAATATCCTAATAGGAGAAAAATTAAGTCAGTATTCTAAAAATGGCTTTTCAGAGTGACACTGTCAATTCTAATCAAAGAATACAATTCAGCACACTCTTACTTGCATTTGTAACATCTCTTCACGAGGAATTCTTTTCTCAAAGTCCTCAAAATATCTATAAAGACAGAATAAATAGATAAGACTTTTGTGACATTTAAATCTTCTTAAAAAATAAATTTCCTACTATATCAAGTGTCCTTATACCATTAGAGCATTCAAAAATCAAGATTAAAATTCATTAAGACAACAGTAAAATTGAGGGTGAAGGTTTATTCCTCAAACTTGATCAAAATCCTTACAAGCCATCCTTTCCACTATTCCAGAAATTCCATCTAAACTTATTTATAAATAAACTTCACATTCACATACCAAGAGTAAATAAATATATTTAAGTTAGCACACTTCCAAATTAGACTGATCCCTATTGACAAGTCAAGGGGTTATAATTTATTGTCCTTAAATCATGTAAAATTATTGTATTTTAAAATACCTTAGTAGGATCTTGCAACATAAACAAACCCAGACATTATTCTAATTGAAAGAAGCCAGTCACAAAAGACCACATATTGTATTATTTCATTTATATAAAATGCCCAGAATAGGCAAATCTATAGAGACAATAAGTAGATTAGTGGTTGCCAGGAGCTGGGGGGGTAGAGGTGGAGGATTGGCGAGAAATAGGAGTGACTGTTAATGGGTACAAGAAACAAAAATGTTCTAAAATTCGGTTTGTGATGGTTATATAACTCTGTGAATATACTAAAACCCCTGAAAAAGTAAACTGATGAACAAAATAGATCCAGAGACATGGAAGCATGCAACAGACTGACAAATCTCAAAGTGGAGGGGGAGAGGGGTAGGAAGGGATTAAACAAAGAACTTAGATACATATATGTATAATCCATGGACAATAACTTGAAATCTCAAAGTGGAGGGGGAGAGGGGTAGGAAGGGATTAAACAAAGAACTTAGATACATATATGTATAATCAATGGACAATAACTTGGTGAAGGCCTGTAGAGGGAGCAGGAGTGGGGAGAAGGGGAGGAGGGGGTCAATGGGGGGAAAGGGGACATCTGTAATACTTTCAACAATAAAGATAAATTAAAAAATTAAAAAATAAAACCAATGAATTTGTACTTTAAATGGTTGAATTGTATGGTATATGAATTATACTTCTACAAGATTGTTATAAAAATATTATCTAAGTATGAAATAACATCTAAGAATAAAGCACTGGCTCAAAACGAATTCTCACAACAACTAAGTTCTTCAGAAGACCTCTATTTACTATGTAAATGCAAAGAAAATGAGAACTATACCACCCTGGTCTCTTAACTTGCTCAAATTTTTGGAAGGGCAGTGTAATAGTATGGTAAGGCATCAACAGAAAAGTGCAGGTTATTAGGACTGAATCGCCAACAAGACTATAGGACTGGAGGAAAGAAACATGCTTATGCATGTACATAGCTTATGCACTATGTATTTTAAATAATTAGAAAGGGGGTTCCTGATTATATCTGTACACAAAATAAATAACAGCTAATGCTGACATACAACATGCCTATTAATTATTCCTTTACTGTTATTTAAGTGCTTGGTATTTTTCTTCTTTTTTTTAAAATTTAGTTTTTCAAGTTCATGTCCTATCTTCTGAGGTAGACTCTAAACTTCGTAAGAGCTACGCTGAGCCTGTTTATATCCTTACCCCAGATCTAGTGCAGTGCTTTGTATAATGTAAGCATGAAATAAACACCCACTGACTCACTGATGCACTCAGTTCTATGCATTTTCAGAGGAAATTCCTTACAAAAGTTAAGAGAATGAGGGAAAAACTCAAAAGAGGCAAATCTACAGGAGTCTGCAACACATCTTAGCATTTCTGAACAGAGAAATGGTTGTTTAGCTAAGTTTGAAGAATTATGATGTATGAAAGAATGGCTATAAAAAATTTTACTTTTACGTCTCCAGTGTCAAAGAAAATTTGCCACCTTACTTCAGCCCAATTCGCTGATGATGGTTCAATTTATCTTCATTTTTTCTGAGATCTGTATAAAAGATAAAGTTGAGGTGCTAATTCAAACATTTTGTGGGGAAAATGGTAAATTCAGCGATACTATTTACAAAAAAAACTACATGGAAAATACATTAAAATTACTTTGAAAAGACAGTAAAAAAATTTACCTAAAAGAATTAGATAAAAGTGACTCTTCAAATTAACCTAGTAAAACCTAACAGTTATTTCATGATCATTTTTATTTACTGAATCAAAAGTTCAATTAGTTACATGGAACAGTAGATTAAACATACCAAGATCATACCAAATTTTACTGACTATAGCAAAAAGCAGCCTTATAAGAACTATATTGCTTAATTTATGGTTAACAGCAGCAGCAGTAGTAACCACAACTTCTGAATGTATTAAGAGTAACTAAGTTCATTTGTGTTGCTCATTTGTTTATTCACTCCTTCATTTAGTTAACATTTATTGAATACCAGTTTGTGTAGGAACTGTGCTAAAAATCTTGTTAAAAAGAGATGTGTTATCTTTATTTTTTAATTTTAAAAACTGTCATAACATAACATATCTTAAATCTAAAAGTGACTTAGTTCCACTTAGATGTTCCTTTATTGGGCATGAATACAAGAGTAAGCTTTTAAAGATAAGTATGCTTCACAAGCAATTCCTATAATCACCCTCATATTCACATAAATTCTCTCTGGAAATATAAAATGGAGAAAAATAAGTATCTTTATAATATATGGAGCACTGAATATTTCTCATAGTTGTATTTACACAGAAAACACTGAAGTATATGAAACAGAAATATTGAGTCTGTTTTATGTATATGATATATCAACAGTTATATTACAGGTCTGTGAATTGAGAAGTAATGTAAAAACCCTACACAAGTTAAGAGAACGAGGGGAATTAGAGTAGATCCTTCACACTCCCAAGGGATGCAACTGAATACCTTTGAAAAACAAATTCTTGACCCCATTTTCAGTATTTCACTCAGATAAACCATATACACTACAAGCAGAAAAGCACAACCCTCCGAGATGCAGATGTAAAGAGGTCATTAACTAGCCACGTGACTCACACAAATTCTTAGTAATATTACTAATTAACCATACTTCTTAAGAGTCGGTTACTATTTTTAATTACTTTAGTAGGTACCAAGCATTCTGCTAAGTGCTTTACATACATTATTTCATTAAATCATATGAGACAGAAATTATACCATTTTGTAGCTGAGAAACTGAAGCACCATTCTAATGAATTCATTGCTCACAAGTAGTTGAACCCACAAATATTAAACCCTAAATGCCACAGATATACTGTAATGAATCTATACATACATATGGCCTTGAAAATGTATGAATAAATTATATTTAAAGGATTGCTATATTAGGTTTAAGAAAAGTGTTTCGGAATTACTATTTTTATCACTTCTTTGAAAGCAAAAATTCAGTAAGCGATACAAGTCTCTTACAGAATCTTTCTCAATATACTTGGCTTTTAAGCTGAATGTGTAGGACTTTGTTAACAGATTAAAATTTTATTAACGAACAAAGTTTATTTACATCAACTAAAATCTGCAAATGAAATCATTGCCTTAAAACCAAAAGCCACTTCTTCCTCTTCTTGATTTTCTTCTGAGTTAAGATGGGAATATAAACTACTCTTTATATCTATTCTCTAATGTAGAGTTTAAAAAAATCATATCATTTGTATCTAATTGAGAAGAGGTTTTTTGTTTTGTTTTTTGATATGTTTTTATTGATTTCAGAGAGGAAGGGAGAGAGAGATAGAAACATCAATGATGAGAGAGAATCATTGATCGGCTGCCTCTTGCACGCCCCCCATTGGGGATTGAGCCCACAACCCAGGCATATGCCCTTGACGGGATTCAAACCCAGGACCCATGAAAAACCCAGGACCCCTGAGTCCACAGGCCAACGCTCTATACAATGAACCAAACCAGCTAGGGCGAGAAGGAATTTTTCAAGTTGTAGTTTGTTAGAGCATTAACAGTCAGTCAGGACAACATTTAATCTGGAATTACATACTCACCTTCTAATGTTTTAATTCCTTCATCTACAAACTTCCTTGCAGCAGATGGACTATAAGAAAGAAACACATTATTTCATATCAAACAAAACTCAGGATTCTTGAAACAAATAATTATGTCTTCTCTTTCAAACATGAAAGAGTTACTATTGAAGTGAACAAGACTTGCTAAAATGGCGCATGGTAATTTGGGTAATGTTCAATTTCATCCAAAGAGAGGAATTCTTGAAGCCTCAATCTAGGAATACAACCATAAACTTAGACATGAAAAAGATGTCTCAACAATTGTGCCCATGTCTTTTACTCATAAAAGACATACAGGTACTTGAAAACTGTTCATTCATTCATGAGATTTACTGAGGGCCTAATATGTACCAGATAACACTGCTAGGTGCTAAAAATACAACAGGAATAACACAAATAAGGGTGCTGGTCTTACCTACATACATTCCAGTGGGTAAGAGAATGAATAAATACATAATAAACAAATAAGAAAATACCTGGCAGATGAATTAAAATAGAGTACCATAGCAGAGTGGTTAGGTACTACTTTAGATTGGGTGGTGAGGGAAGGCCTCTGAGATATTGAAACTGAGACTGGAATGACAAAGAGCCTATTCACAGAAACCGCTTGTCACAGAAACCGATATTCATGGCAGGAAGGCAATGTGGCATAGAAAAACAGAACTGAAAAGGGAGTCAGGAAACATAGGTTCTAATTCTGATTCTGCCACACTTATCTCACTCTCTGTATTCAGTTTTCTTGTCTGAAAAAAGAGAACAATATAATAGATGCCCTGTAAAACAACATTTAACTACCACTGTATAATGGCCTTGGGTCCCCAAGGACTCAAGCTCATTTTCAGTAGACTAAGTTTAAGAATTTAATCTATTTTAGAGTAACTTTCCTAAAAACGTTGCCATATAAAAAATCAACATTATATCTAAAAATATTCTCATTTCATGAAGATGAGAGTTAAGCATTACAGCTTTAATATTTCAATGTTCATCTTTACTTTGTCTAGTATCAAAGAAGCCTCCTTTCATGCTAGTTCAACTTTTAAGATAAAGATTCCTTCATTAAAAAATGCCTGAGAGCTTGTTTCAAATTCATAAGGTACTATGCTAGGTGCTATGGAAAAAAAGCTTAAATGTTTAAGATATCATGCTCAGAGAGGCAAATGAGGTTTAATCTGGAGAATACAATAAGATGTACAAAGAGCAAGTGTTAGTGGAGTTTAGAGGAAGAAGAAATCATTTCCGGCTGGGGAATCAAACTGGTTTCACAAAGGAGGTAACACTAGCCTTGGATGAGGCTTTCACGGTAAAGGCAACATCTAGAGAACCAGCCTCAGACATGTAACATATGGAAAAGCAAACTGTATGGGCAAAGGCACAGACGTGGAAAGATGCAAGTTTTGAAGAGAAACAGCATGCACTTTGGTTTGGCTGACATAAAGATTAAACCAACCCTATATTGTGTCTGCTTAAAAAATAGTTCTTGTCCTGGCTCAGTTGGTTGGAGTGTTATCTCGTAGACCAAATGGGTGCTGGTTTGAAATCCTTCCTCTCTCTCTAAAATCAATAAAAACATATCCTTGGGTGAGGATTAAAAAAAAAAAAAAAAGATAGTTCTTACCCAATACCAGTAACTCGAGTCAGGAAATTGATGGATGAACTTGTATCATCCTGCCGAATCTTTAAGGGAAGAAAAAAAGCATGACAATGATTTAAGAATGCTTCAAGGGCTCAAATGATCTTATTGGAAACATACCAATATTTACATATGTCTGGATAACTCTTAAAGGAGTATTCATATATAACCTAGGTGGTTATCTACACTAATCTACACTAATAAAAGAGAAACATGGTAATTGGCGTACGACCGCTACCCTTCCCATTGGCTAATCAGCATATCCTTATGCAAATTAACTGTCAGCCAAGATGGCGGCCGGCAGCCAGGCAGCTGGAAGCGAGCATGAGGCTT